TGGCTCCTGACTTCTGATCAGCGCAACACCGGCCGGCCGTTGCAGTCACTTGGGGAGTGAATCAGCAGATGGAAGGTCTTCCTCTCTGTCTCTCCTCCTCTCTGTATATCTGACTTTGCAATAAAAATGAAATAAATCGGGCCCGGCGCGGTGGCGCAAGTGGTTAAAGGTCCTCGCCTTGCATGGGCGCCGGTTCTAATCCCGGCAGCCCCGCTTCCCTTCCAGCTCCCTGCCTGTGGCCTGGGAAAGCAGTCCAGGACGGGCCCAAAGCTTTGGAACCTGCACCCGCGTGGGAGACCCGGAAGAGGCTCCTGGCTTCGGATCGGCATAGTATCGACCTGTTGCGCTCACTTGGAGAGTGAATCATCGGACGGAAGATCTTCCTCTCTGTCTCTCCTCTCTGTATATCTGCCTTTCCAATGAAAAAAATAATAAAAATAAATCTTCAAAAAAAAAATGAAATAAATCTTTAAAAAAAGAAAAAAATACAGGTTTGGGCCAGTGCTATGGATCAACTGGCTAATCAAATTTATTTATTTTTTATTGGGAAGGCAGATTTATAAGAGAGAAGGAGACACAGAGAGATAAAGATCTTACATCCTCTGGTTTACTCCCCAACTGACTGCAAGGCCAAAGCTAAAGAGATCCAAAGCCAGGAGCCAGGAGCTTCTTCTGAGTGTCCCATGCAGGTGCAAGGTTCCAAGGCCGTGGGCCATCCTCTGCTGCTTTTCCCAACTGGATCAGAAGTGGAGCAGCTGGGACACGAATTGGCACCAATATGAATTGCTGGTGCATGAAGGGGGTGCAATAGTCAACTGAGCCATCAGGCCAGCCCTTGGTAAATACTAAATCTTTCACAATAATTCTAAAAAGGAAATTCTGAGAGCCTGAAAAGCACATGGTTTTCTTCTAAATATCCTTTGATTTGTTCTGATTCATGACTACAGGGCAAATATTTTTCCAGCCTTCTCCCTACTCTGGCCAGCCAACTAACCATCATAGAGGAAAATGGCTCTGACTTGACAACGTTGTGTAATTTTCCAATAGGGCACAAGAGGGCAGGTTTTGCTTTATTGTGAGCTTAAAACCACTCCATTAGCAATCAAGATGGTCATTACTCTAATTGTAACGTCAGAAACAGTTTAAACACATAAAGGAGTAATCAGGGTGTGCAGCTTTGCTATGAGACCTCTACTGTTTCAATTAAAAAAACAACAACAGTTTAAGTCCTTCTATTTAGCAGTGTTTATGACACAGAGAACAATTACTTTTTGGAGGCACTTGTATTTTTAGATTCTGTCTATAACCCTCTCATGGGGTCAGAGAATGCCCAAAAAGGAACTGATCAAATTCAGTCATATCACAGCCAAAAAGTCTGACTTGATTTCGCAAAAACACAGGCCAGTTAATGGTTTTTCCTGAAAGGATGAAGTCTTAATGCAAAAATATAAAGCATAAAAGCCTTGACTAGGAGCCTCATCTTTAGTTTGCTTATTTTAGAAAACTGTAATTTTTATTATTGGCTACAATTTGCATGTGTGTTGTCTACATGATTCCATTAAGCTACCTTCCAGAGCAAAAAGAAATTCATAAGGATTAGTTGCAAGTTTCCAATAAAAAATAAATAAATCCTTAAAAAACAAACAAAAAAAGAACTTACCAAACTAAAAAAAGAAAAAGAAAAAACAAGAATGAACTTGCTGGGGCCGGCGCATTGCATCAAGGGCCTCACCTCCCACCTCTAAGCACAGGCATCTTACATGGCACTGGTTAGTGCCCTACTGCTCCACTTCCCATCCAGCTCCCTGCTTAGGGCCTGGGAACGCCTTGGAGGAGGGCCCAAGGCCTTGGGGCCCTGCACCTGTGTGGGAGACCTGGAAGACGCTCCTGGCTTCAGATTGGCTCAGCCCCAGCTGTCGGGAACACCTGAGATGTGAACCAGCAGATGGAAGAGCTTTCTCTCTGTATCTTTGTCTCTCTGCAAATCTGCTTTTCCAATGAAAATAAATGAATCTTAAAAATAAAAACTTATCTTCAAATGTGAAGTAGTTATTATGCATTATATGTATGCTTATATGCACTTTGCATACTCATCAATATGTATTTGTGGAATGACCAAAAGATGAGAATGGATGTGCCCAAATAAAAAAAAAATAACCTCTTAGCAATGAATAATAATTTGCAAAAAACATGTTTTTATTTTCCTCTTTAATGAGATTTAGATTTCTTGCTAGTGAGATTAAAATTATCCATTATAAGTATTATAATTAACATAGTTAAATCCTAAGCAAGATACAAATTAATGTGAAAGAATTTTAGAATTAGAAAGAGAATTTATTTTACAAAGGAGTTATTGAATTTCATTTCACTTCTGAATGTTAACTTTAGAAAAGCATTTCTATTGGAATCATTACTCATACAAATACAAGTTTAAACTGATAAGTTCACTTCCCTGCAAGTTGAATTTGCAGCCCCCATCAGTAAGAAGTATGGCCCCGCAGTGCTTGTGACATTTGCTGAGTCTATTTGCATAATTTCAATGTAAGTAAATACCAGCTTTTTGTTCTGCAAGTTTATGCTACCTTCAGATTTGTTAAAAGGTATTCATAATTGATTTATGGTAAAGCTAGAAAATTGCATTCCTCTCATAAGAACTTCAAAATTAGGAAACTATTTCTCTTAGAAAGACATTATAAAACATAATGTGTATAAAGAGCTGTTCATGCCATAGATAAAAAGTAGCTAAGCAGAAATGATTAGTATTTATTACTATTTACTCAACTCAAATAGGTCTCACTTTAACCACTCATATTCTAAAAATATGAGTGGAAATGATGATATTTCTAAAAGATAAGTTAGAAGTAGCTATTTGTTTGCAGAATTATTCATAATAGTTCATCTAAAAAAACGTAATTTCTTCTGGTACTTTTAACACATTGATTTATATATTTCAGAAGTATATCTACTATGCACAATTGTATCTTCATTTTAGTATACTTCTCTTTCAATTTAAAAACAGAATGCAAAAATGTGTTCCCCATAACACTGTTCTCAGAACACAAACCTTCCAGAGAGGAGCTTGATAACAGCTTGTTGCAGTTTCCATGAATTCTGTCAACGGCACCAATAAAGACCTAGACATGTGACAACACTATAAAATAGTGATACACCCCCTTAATTGTCATCACTGAACCTACTGTCACATGAACTTGCAATTCATGAGACGAATACCCAAATTCCATTCCAGCTTGTGTTGTCCATTTCTCGCTGGAGCAGCCCTGCTCCAGGACAGTCCACCAGCTCTTACTGAGTCGTGTGCCCTCCAGGTGCCCACATATAGAAGGAAGCTCAGGGACCCTCTTAACACCTCTTTGTTTTACACACAACCTCCGGTAGAGGGATATAAACAAGCTCATATACGAGTCACCAGGCAAACGCACCCATACCAGAGGCGCACAGATGAAATTTGCCTGGAGATTTCACTAACCATTATCAGCTTCGCAAAAGGAAAGGTCATCCATCAAGATAAGAAAGTCTGAAACTGGAGTGGAGATCGACTCATTCTTACTTCTCATGAACTGATGAGTATTTAGCAGAAAAAAAAAAAAATGATTTGACTCTGAATTGTCATGTTCTGTACAGATTATTTCCAAATGTTGACCTAACATTTGTAAGTAGCTCTCAGTACAGTGCAACATGAGCGAATCTAAAGCCAACTCTATAATTAGCCTGATGCTTTAGGTGTGAATTTTTCCTCTGAGGCCACCTAATAAAGGAATAGAATTAGGATCAAACAAAGAGACCTCTGAGTAATGGGATTCTAATCAAGTTGACTCATGCAAGCTGACAGCTCACCAGCCCTCTCCAGTCAGCCTTTCATGAAAAGAGCCATTCTATGATTGTTAATGGATTTAGAACAGAAGCTTCATTAACCAGGAAGCCATGTATTTTTGTTCCCTTACCTGTTTATTTATCACTACAGGATGGATGTTAACTATTGAATCCTGTAATAGGCCTAAAGTTCAGAATTGTACATGTTTAATAAATCGTCAAAGTCTAGCTTACAAGAGAAAATTGATCATTCATTCATTCACTCTCCATCCTGTGTGGAAAATGTGTTCTATTTTCTTCTTTAAGGCTAGATAGAAAAAGATACAGAGGGAAAAAAAAACCAGTAGCCCAGGGCAGATTATCAAAGGGGCATCAGGAGGGCAGGAATTGGCTGCAGGGACTAAGATGCTGCTTGAGATGCCTACATTCGGTGTGAGAGTACCTGAGTTCAAATCCTGCCTCTGCTCCCAGTTTTACCCTCCTGCTAAGGCAAACTCTTGGAGACAGCAAGTGGTGGCTCAAGAACTGGGATTCCCACCAGCCTTGTGGGAGATAGACAGTTTCTTGCTCTTGCTTTCAGCCCAGCACAGTTTTGGCCAGGGTCAATGTTTGGGAAGTGAAGTAATATATGAAATCTATCTATTCCCCACCCCTTTTCTCTTTTCTCTCACTTCCTCCTCAAATTTAAACAGCAAAAAGATACCCACAACATGGATGTAGGTGGCATCTAGAAGATTCATCTGGTGCTTCCATCCCCCACATCATTACAACTGAAAACATTGGACCATGCAGATGGCATTGTGGTCTTATCCAAGTCTCAGGTTACACTGACCTACAAATGTAGATGAATGCATCTGATCAATTCGCGTTGCTGTCTGATGCTTTCAGAACAGGAGGCGGCTTAAATTGATATGGAGAATTCTTATCAGATACCTCAACATGTCAGCTCAAACCTACTTCGGTCATGGGTATTACTATCTCTTTAGCAATAAGTCAAACTAGAAACTACAGTTAAGCATTCTCTCTCTGGGGTCATCAGCGCCACAAAGGTTTTCAACTACAGAAGAATACAGAGAAACAGATTATTGTCACAGTTCAGATGAGCTTAATTGCTGTCCTGGTGAGCCCTGCAGCTGGCTGGCCTCTTCTCTGGATCAGCCACGGACACCCTAGGCTTCTTCCGTGTATCTTTTGTTGCTTAAATGTGTCTCCACCAGGGGTGTGTAACCTCTTCGGATCCTTCTATACTGAAGGAAAAACAGCAGCGCAAACAGAGCAACCAAAGCCACCAGCATCCCCAAAACCACTGAGAAGGTTGTGGTCCACGCTGGAGTTTCTTCAACTGAAATTAAAGTAAGAGAGAAGAGGGCACAATCAGGATTTTCTTCAGCTGGATGCTTTCATAGAAAGAAAAAAACGAAAAACTTATTTGCTTTTACATGTGAATTTTTTTTGTTGATAAAGCAAAACTACTTTTGCTTGAGAAAAATTTATCTTCTCTTTCCTCACCGACTATTTATCATCTCCACAATTGTTTTTCTTGAGGAAGTTGGAAATGGCATCCCATTATTTAAGTATAGCTTATTGCATTTTTAAAATTCATTACAATAAATGCTTATGCAGAATAAACCCTCCGAGGAAGAATATAACTACTTTTGTGAGTTAGAAACTCATTTGTAAAAGTGCATGGTGAAATGGTATCTGGGGAACTGCAAAGTATTCAAGCCTCAGGTGGAGAAAGTCTGCTATTGTCTCTACCTTTTTTATGGGGTGATAAATGTAGGAGAGTTTCAGATTGGCTCTTACAACCAGAAACACTCTGCAGCAGAAGCAGATGGTATTTGCACCCATTTAAATAGTTGTGAATAAATTCTGAATCTTCCACACAATAAATCCTAAATCTAATCCTCTACTCAAAGATATTGTAAAAGCCCTCTTCCACAAAGTTAGCAATTTCCATTTTAGTAAACACATACCTATTTGTTATTTCCTTTTTTAGCAAATCATCTTTACTTTGGCAAATTTTGTACTATATCTTGCTGTCATCTCAATGTAAGATTCTCTGCCCGGCCCCAACTCTCTCCCGAGATGGTTTAAAAATGTGAAGAAAACTAAGTCAACACTGAGACAGACCAGCCCAAACTTCCGGAGAGAGCCCCTATGTTCCACCAGTGTCTACCACCGGCCATCCTTGAAAGCCCACTTTTCTTCATCTTGTCCCATCTCCACAACTTTTTGTTCTTTGTTTTAAATGCGATACAACATGCCAGGTGTGTCTGCCTCTTGATGCCCTTACTTCATTTCTAGGAAGGACTTTCTGTTGTGTAAAAATTGACATCAAATAAAATGCAAATGGCAATTCTGTTAGTCTTTCTTTTGTCAATATCATTTGGTGGCTAGCAATTCACAAAAGAAAGTTGAGGAGGAAAGGATTTACTCCCTTTCTACTTACAGTCAACTCTCCCAGGTAGATTTATAAATTTGTACGTCAACTAAAACATGGACATGTGCCTGAATGTTCTGATGAATTATCCCATCCTGGGTGTATCTGGGTCTTTGCCTTTTCGTACTGCTTGATTTAATGGAGCTAAGTCAGGATGAACATTCTAAATCTTTTATTGTTGTCATGTTTAAAGAAGGGAAAGAAGTTTGAAAGAAATGCCCCCAGCTGCCTAAAAGAAAGAATATTTCAAATTTCTTAGAAAAATAAGAAATAGTAATACAGAGCTGGAAGGAAAAACAAGGTGAATTCTAGGATCTGAAAAACTCAGATCAAAAAGACTGGTCTTAGGAATAATGAGAACCAGGGCTGGGGGCAGGAGTGGTTAGACCGATGGTAGCACCCACTGCCATGTGTGTGGAGTTGGCTGTGTTGAGCTAGGCTCCAATGCCCATTGACACGTATGAGAGCTGAATGGGACATGGGACAGACTGAACCAGTCTGCTGTAAGCACAGGAACCAGGGCTGGGGGCAGGCCTAGAGGGGGTTAACAGGGGTTACTCTGACTAGGCTGCAGTTCCTGCTTGTGTATGTGAAAGCCAAGTGAGTGGTGGGCAGGGTTGGCCACAGAAGACAGACCACATAAGAGACAAGCTGGAGATAGAACTGACCCAGTAAATACAACTACCACTGTGTGTGTGGGCTGATGTGAGTGGTAGAGTCAGCCAGATCCCATCCTGGCAAGCACACACAGGTCCAAGATCATCTTAGATGAAGTTTCTTTGAGGATCCACCCCAACTGAACTGCTGGACTCAGAACTCCGACCATGGGGAGAATCACCGGATCGGTGGTCTGAGCATGGAGTGCATGTGTCAGAACTGGGCTTTCTCAATGGCTTAGATGAGCAGTGGACAGCATGTCCAGATGCACATGGAGGATATGGAAGCCCTTCGGGGTCTGCAGAGGACATCTGGTACTATAGTAGAGGAAGGATGGCACAACAAATTGATCAACTACCCCAGCCAAGTGTTGACAACAAATATCTGGGTGAGTGGAGACTCTGGGGTGTACTATGTCAGCCAATGGATTTTGGAAGGATTTCTTCATCCGTGGACCAGTGAGACTGACAGCATTTCAGAACTATCAAAACCACTGGAGTAGAACCCTTGGAGCATGCCCCACACTGGAACCCTGGGATGACATCGGGTGGCTGCGCCTGATCCCTGGCAGTTGGGAAGCTGGGCACAACTTATTCCCCTCACTCCCCTTTTTCCTTGGATACAGGAATAAAGAGAAAATGTGGAAACAGGGCCTCACCCACTTCCTCCTAATCCTAGACCATTCCTATCCTAATGAACTATAAAAACATGATCAAAAATAAAAGTTAAAAACCATACTTATGGCAAAAAATAATATATACTTAGCTATTATCTCAATAGTAGCAAAATTAAAATTAAATTTAGATTAAACTTAATGATAATGAGTATAATCCTTAAGAAAAGTCCTCCCATAATTTGAATCAAGTGGGAAAGGTTAATAAAAGGACTATAATCCTAAAATGTTACTTAAAATGTTAATTTTTAAAATAAACGCATAAAGTTCCATGTAATCCAACCCATTGGCAGAACAATGTCACTCATTGGGCATGAGTTACCAATGTCGCACAGTTGGGCATGAGATAAGTCTGTTAGGAACAAACTGGTCCAGTTACAAGATAATGCAAGTGTATAAAACAAAAAAAAATTAAAAGCTTTGTCATGGAAAATTAATATTCATCTGAAATTTTGGCATCAGCTTTAAAAATACTGCATCATACTATTTCTTACCTCAATGACTGGAGTTTTTCTATTTTGGCCTCTGCTACAAGTTTGTGTTCAAAACAAATCCCTTTTTTCCTTACCTAATCCCAGCCCTACCTAAGTCTTGTCTACACATGATTTTATTGGTTAGATATTTCAAACAACAAACTTTGGACAGTTTCTTTGATTAATCCTTATTAACGCACATAGATTCATCATGTTGCAAGTAGGAGTAGATAGGTCCTCTGTGAAACAAGGTCTCTTAATAGCCTATAGCTTTCTAAACCGAGAATCAGCCAACTACTCCCTTTCTGATGTTTAATTAGTAGTTTAATGGCTCATTTTGTTAAGTACATATATTCTAGAAAATGGCCAATAAACTTAACTAGGCCTGAGTGCTGCACTTAAAGGTCTCTGTTAATGTTGAAAAGAAAGTAAGCTCCTTTAGAAGCCCAATGAATCACCCATTTAGAAGTTGTGTTAGGCGTACCAGGCAGATCAATGGCGTAGGTGTAGCCGAGCTGGTCTGTGGTTACAAAGAGCTCTTCGTTTGTCACTGGAGGGAAGAAGGGCACCATGTTGTACAGGCGGTTGTGGCCAATGGGTGCCAGCTCCTGAGGCCAGGCTTCTACGGGAGGATTATACCTTCTCATCCACTCATCGAATATGGCATCAGTGAAGGAGTGAAGGACCTGCAAGACGAGTTAACACAGTGTCTGACACCCATGGCTCAGTCCCCACCAGCCACATTTGACTGGAGCAGGAGTGGGCGGAGCTCCTGGGATAGGAGGACCAACTCCAGAACACATCCAACCATAATGACAGGCACAGTAGCATTTTTTAGTCAAGTTTTCAAGAATGGATGGCCAAACCTCTCCCACAAAGATTGCAAACTTACATATCAATGAACAGGAGAAAGTTCATGTCAGAGAGCTAGCATGGGTTTGGAAAGATATGAGGTCTTCAACATCTTTGTACTGATTATTAATTTCAGAAAAACCAAGGATGGTAAGATATATACTCTTGTCAATAAGCAGGTGCTTTGGTTTAGCAGAAGAGAAGGGAAAGCTTGCACATCCTGGTATTGCAATATAAACGGACAACAATGAAAGAGGAAGGAAAATCTCCAAAATGTGTTTTTGAATCTTTCTTCTCAAGAGTATCATTCTATCTACTGCTTTTATAACCTTCTCATTTGAATGCCTACAAAAGGAAGTCTAAAAATGTAATACACACCATGCTCCTTTTTATTTTCTCAAGGAAGCTATTAAAGTTGTTCTCAAATACAGCAATTACTATGCTTTAAAATATTAATAGCAAAATTTGCAGATTATAGCCTTGGTTTAGCAGCAGGATATAAATGTGAGAGTTCAGCCCAGCCCAAACGTCTCCAGTGTGAGTTCATTTGGCAGCCCTGCCCTTGGAGTTCAGCAAGCTCAGGCCGGTGCCTGATTCTCCCTCTCGCTGCCCAGATTCCCAGAGCTGTCAAGTTTGGGCCTGTCACATCGAAGTAGGGAGGTGTGTATTTCAATAAGCGTGTGTCCAATGTCTGCTCCCCACCACATGCTGTACCACATTTGTAACACTGATCAAATCACGCTGCATCTTGTCATTTGTCTATCTTCCCCCCTCCCCACCCCCCAAAAAAACAAGGTCTCTAGCTTGTGAAAGTCAAAGAGAATGCCTTTTCATTTTTGATGTCTCAGGCCTAGCTTGCAGCTTAGAGTAAATCAATATTTACTGTCTGTTGGCTGAAGACAGTGTCACACAAAGCCGCTCTGTTTGCATAAATATTGATCCCCCATTCCCGGGCATTATTTCAGTTCTGAAAGGAAAGAAAGAAAAATCGTTTCCTAATAGAAAAGTAGAACAACCTTTGGCCTCTCTCTGCCTACCTGGTCCCATCCCCTCCACCTCCCACCCCTGCCCTGTCGCACAAATACAGTTCAACCTAAGGGACCCCGAGTGGTTGAAGCTGTTTGTTCATTTGTAGTGCCGTTCTTTCTGTTTTCTGGCACCGTAGTTTTAGTGTCTGCCTCTGCTATCACCACCACCCCTAGTCCAAATACTTTGCTTTTTGCACTTCTAAATTGTTTTCATTATTCTGTCCTAGCGGAGTTAGTCTTGCTTATTTTAATATACAAGATTTTCAAGTCTTACCCCTGGCTCCTTCACCCTTATTTTTACTAGACTTCCCTTTTCCAGGCAGCAGAGTTCGCTCTGCCTGTGCTGCCTCCTGAGGCTAGATCAGGATACAGAAAGGAATCAAGTGATTTACTGAAGGGATTTCTTTCCTGAATGGATTTTTAAAGTTCATGGCATAGATAATGATTTTTTAAACCAAAGCATCAAATTATAAGGTCTGAGCTTTGTGAGAGATAAAAGATTTTTTGAATTCTGTAATCTTGGCTTTGGGTAGCAAAGGCCAAGGCCCAAAGGCGGAAAGGCCTAGAATTCATTGCCTCAGCAACAGCTTTGGAAGAAAGCATGGCCATCGAAGTGACCAATGTCTTCTACACCACAGCTCAGGCAAAGACGTCTTTGAGAGAGGCACCAGACCTGGAATAGTAGCTCCTGTAGATCCCTGAAACAGACACCTAAAAGGTCCTGAGCCCGGAAACTCCAGAGCAGACTGGGGAAAAGAGCGGAACAGTCTCAGGAAGGGAACTCATGTTCCAGGTTCCAAGTATAGCCAGAGGAGTCTTTGGGCATCAAAGTGAGGTCTTGCCCCCAAGCATGGAGTCCAGCACTCACACAGTGTCCCTAATATGCTAAGCTGCTTCCCACAATGCTGACATGCTGTGAAAGTGCAAATTCGGATCCTAGCCGCTCTGTTTCCACTCCAGCTTCCTACCAATGTGACCGGGAAAGCAGTGGAAGATGGCTTAAGTGTTCGGGTCCCTATGACCTGTGACGGAGACCTGGATCTAATTCCTGGTTCCTGGTATCAGACTGGCCCTGCCCTAGCTATTGCACCCACTTAGGGAATGAATCATCTGATGGACAATAGCTCTCCTTATCACATATCCTGCCCCGTAACTCTGACTTACCATAAATAAATACTTTTTTTAAAAGAGAGGGAGGGAGCTCAAGCAATAAAGATAGAAAGAATGTCTGGAGGATGAAAGCTCTTAGAGACTTACCCAGTATCTATCCTAGAAACTTCTTTTACATTTTGGGGGGAAACAATACGCCAAGCTATACATGAAATTTAGCTGAAACTCACTGGATGGAGTGTCTATGAATAAAAGCAGATATTCATCTGAAAAGTCTATTATTTTGCCTTCCCATTTCTCCTTGCTACTCCTCAGGATGTGATGTGATGGCTGCAGCTTCTGTAGTCAGGTTATGCCGCTCATTGAGAATGGTAGAGCAAAAAGACAAATGGAGACCACAGAGTTTCCACAGCAGCCCTCGGCTGCCTGCTGGTGAGGCTACTTTCCACAGAGGAAAAGTAAATCTCATTTAATTGGCTTCTGTAATTTGATGTCTTTGTTCTAGGGAGCTGAGCAAATCTTTAAGATTTGAGGCATAGAGGAAGCATGTAAAGGTACATACAATGCATTTCCCCCAAAGGGTCACATAATACGTCTCAAATCACATGATTTTCGAAAATCTTGCTATAGCCTCATCAATAGTTGGGTATGGCTCTCACCTAGAAACTCAGTGATTTTTTTTTGTCTTGCAAGCAATAAAATGCAGAAGTGACACTGTCTGATTTTTGAAGTTAGATCTTAAAGTACAGGCCTATCGTGTGCCTGAGTCCTGAACCCTCACAGAAAAGCAGTCCAACTGTCCCAAGTAGCCATGCTGTAAGGAATCCCAAACCTACCAGAACAGACTCTGTGGAGAAGTTCTGAGATTTCAGGAAGACAGAGAGAATGACAGATGACTGGCCAGCCCACCACTTCTTCAACATCAGCACCATCTGTCTGCAACGTTACCAAATGATCCTGAACTATGGCTGCTCGGTCAAAGCCTTCCCAAATTTCTGACCCAGAAATCGCTTCAAGCCATCAAGGGTTGGAGTGATCTGTTATGCGCCAGCAGATGTTCAAAAGGAAAGAAAGAGGTCTGTGAATGATCTTACAGGCTCCTGTTTACCTGCAGCAGGTGTAGACAAGGCAGATTTTACTCCCCAGGGAGAGGTCAGACATGCTCAAAGGGGGCTAGTGGTGTGGTTTGAAATGGGAAGGACACAGTCCACTGACCTGATGACGAGTGATGAGTGCAAACTGTAAATATCAAGGACAGACCCCAGCCCGGAGCACAGCTAACCTGGCTCTTCCAAGCAAGAAGAATGCATCAAAAGGCTATTTTCATGAGGATTACTTCATTAGTACCACATGGGGACTCAGAAATCACATATTGCATACATACAGCCAATGTGCACTGTTTCTAGCACTTTACACCTAGTTTAATGAATACCTGTTAGCGCTTGCTCTGTGTCACACACCACGCTCAGCACTGTGCCCACAGGGGCATCCTGATTCCTCAAACAAGCTGTGTGTTGTCTCTGTACTTGCTCTCAGTGCTGTAGGCTGGAGCCTGCAGCACACCTCTGCCCTTACTGCAGGTGCTTGGCTCACACTGACCACTGTTGGCTTGCTGACCGCTGTCTTCCTCTTCACATACATTTCCCCCTTCTAATGAGATGATTTGTGGTGGTTTAGGTGTCTTCTCCAAAATTATTGACCTTCTATTGTCATCTTAATGGTATTTTTTTAAAAAAAGAAAGAACTAACTACTTTAAAAGTAGTTAGTTCATGAGAACTCTGTCCTCATGAGCAAATCAATACCATGATTGCATAAACAGGTGAGAGTAACTCCTGATTAAAAAAAGTGGCGGGAGGGGGGAGGATCATTTCCTCTGATTGCCTCTCTCTAACTTGCACAGCCCCTTGCCCTCCCACCATGTTACAACACACCAGAAAAGCTCCCTTCAGGTGCCTTCTCAGCCTTTGGAACCATTTGCCACATGAACTTTTATTGTTGGTAAATTACCCATTTTATGTGTTCTGCATAGCAGCAAAAACTGGACAAAGATGCCACTCCTTTTAGAAACCTAACCTATTCCAAGATGATCTTAACTAACTACTTCTGCAACTAATCCACTTCCAAAGTCATATCCTGAGGTACTACGTACTAGAACTTCTATGTTTGACTTTGTGCGGGTGGGGGTGGTTAGGGACCCAATTCAGTCCATTACATTATTACATAATAAATACATTCTACATAAATAATAAAAATGCAGATATGTCAACATCAGACAATTAATATTTGGAAGAGCCAGAATTTGAACCCAAAAAGTCTGTTTCTAAATTCAGAGCATTTAATTCCCATATTCTGTTTCAGTAACCCCACCACTTTATAATGAGATTATTAACATAATACTCAGGGCCAACTAAAATAAAGGAACTAATTGTAAAGAATGTGCTCAGGTCTTACCAATGGGGAGAAAGTAAACAGTTTGACCTTTGACAAATCATACACTTCTAGAAACCAACTAAGTTCAAGTCAGAGATGAAATTGTGATGAATTTAAGACTCTATAAAGAAGTCAGAGGCAGTAATGAAAGAAGCCAGCAACCAGAGGTCACCTGATGCAAAGTGGAAATAATTAAGGGGAAACAAGAATCTAAAGTAGTTCAGACAGGAAAGTCAAAGAACATGGCAAAACAATGGGAAATTAC